TATATTCTGTGGTAGTGTGTCTATACACTTATAATAGGAAATATAGAAAAATAGGTACGAATAACATCAATTACTTCATGCAATATCATATTGGCACTTCTGTTTGTAAAACGCTTAATCATTTTTAGAAGAAAATTATAGTATATCTCTTTCACACTTATGATCTGCCAATTTTTTGGTTCATTTCGCATATGTTTTGTTTTACTATGTCAAGATATGTCAAAATAGTCATACGAGATGTGTCACTGAATTTCACGGAACAACTATTTTGTACACGCAGTATGGAGGTACCGTGTCTATAATAAAATGTCTTTGGGAGTAACAGAAAGAACGCAAGCCGAAAGGAGGTCAAGGTACTCATGAAACTGAACAACTTTCCCCATGGAACATGGGTCGAAATATGAAAAAAAATTGGGCCTCCCATACAAAATCTCCGATCAGCTAATTGATTTACTATGGGAGGTCCAATTTTTTTCATATTTCGACCCTTGTTCCATGGGGAAAGTTGTTCAGTTTCATGAGTACCTTGACCTCCTTTCGGCTTGTTATACCCTTTCTGTTACTTCCGGTAGAGCGCATTTCTATGTGAGTGAAAGTGAGTAATGATCTTTTTAATTCTGTTCGGCGTATTATCATCAGTCCTAGTACTGAGTGAGCCATCTGTATAGGCGCCCCGCGCCGTTTTCTTCATTTGTGCTCCCTCTCTGGGGCTGTTTTCATCCATTGTCCGTCTAGCCTCTTTGCCAAGTGTCATGCCCAACTATACTGGGGTGATTCGCTTACCTTCATCTTCGACTTTCGTCCTACGTCCTACGAGGTGTTACAAAACAACCAATAAAGCTGAAAGGAGGTCAAGGTACTCACATAACTACAGAACTTTTCCCCATGGAACATGGGTCGAAATATGAAAAAGTAAATAGGACTTCCCATACAAAATGTACTCAATTTGTATGGGAGCTTTATTGGTTGTTTTGTAACACGTTGTATATGAGGTACGAAAATGGCATTAAAGTAAAAGTTGTTCAGCATGACGAGCCGTTTTTGTTGGCACATGATCCTGATGAGTCTCTTCTGCTGGAACGGAGTACTCGGTTTTTTACTAAGGGCAAAGATCTAATTTCTACGCGAAACAGGTAAGTAAAGTACCAGCGGGTAAAACCGCTGGGCGGGCCACTAGTATGAAATAAACTTACCTCCTCGTGTGTATGTACGTATGCACGGTGTAGCTGTACTGCGTAGGGAAATACATGGAACACAGCTTACACTCGAATTGACCGCGGGACTGGAATACGAAACATTTATTTACTATAGCCGTAAAGTGAACATAAATTTTTTTTCTTAATTAGGCGCAAGATGATTTTCAAAATCAAAAGGTTTTTATTTCTCAGTAGGAATTTACCCTTTAGGCACGTAATGTCCACTTTCCCAAAATGTCTATTTCCCAAAATGACTACTTTCCTAAAATGACAACTTTCCTAGAATGACTACTTTCCTAAGATGACTACTTTCCTAAAACGACTACTTTCCCAAAATGACTACGTTTCAGAAATGTAAAATGAAAAATGTCATATCTGACAGCTGACAAGTCTATACTAGAAGACATGTCAACAAAGAAAAATAGACTTTATTTCAAAGCATTAGCATGATTATGACAGCTGTCAAATATGGCCGATGCAAATTAGTTTTTTGAAGAAGTTGTAGTATGGTTGTAGGCCTTAAAGAGACACTAGTTCAGTAGAGCCACTATTTTCTTTGAAGAAGTTGTAGGTCTAGATGAGATCTTCATTTGAAGTGACAGCTGTCAAACTTAAAACTCGTTTATCTCCTTAACTGAGCGTGCTACACTTCTAGTTTAATTGAAGAGTTGTAGGCCTTGATGAGATCTACATTTTAGTGACAGCTGTCAAACTTAAAACTCGTATATCTTGTTAACTGAGCATGCTACACTACTAGTTTCTTTGAAGAAGTTGTAGGCCTTAATTAGATCTTCATTTCAAGATAAACTAGTTTTAAGTTTGCCAGCTGTCACTTAAAATGTAGTCCTCATCAAGGCCAACAACTTCTTCAAAGAACCTAGTAGTGTAGCATTCTGAGTTAACGAGATAAATGAGTTTCAAGTTTGACAGCTGTCACCAAAAATATAGATCTTTTCAAGGCCTAAAACTTCTTCAAAGTAACTAGTAGTCTAGCATTACCATTTAACGAGATAAACGTGTTTTAAGTTTGACAGCTGTCACATAAAATGTAGATCTCATCAAGGCCTACATCGTCTTTAAAGAAACTAGTAGTGTAGCACGCTCAGTTAACGAGATAAACGTGTTTTAAGTTTGACAGCTGTCACTTAAAATGAAGATCTCATCTAGGCCTACAACTTCTTCAAAGAAAATAGTGGTGTATTATTCTCAGTTAACAAGATAATTAAGTTTTCAGTTTGACAGCTGTCACTTCAAAGGTAGATCTCGTCAAGGCCTATAACAATGCTACAACTTCTTCAAAAACTAATTTGCATGCGCTTAAAAGCGCTTAACGTGAGCACGACAGCGACTTATTCGAAAACGTGGACCACAGGCAACAGAATTTTATTAATTAGCGATTTAATTTAGGTAAAGTGGTCATTTTGGTAAAGTAGTCTTTTTGTGAACAAAAGTAGTCATTTCTGTGAAGTAGTCATTTTGGTAAAGTAGACTTTTTGTGAAAAAAAGTAGTCATTTCGGTAAAGTAGTCATTTTGGTAAAGTGGTCATTTTGGTAAAGTAGACTTTTCGTGCCTAAAGGGAATTTACAACATTCTCTTTAAGAAAGTCACATTCTAATTCAAACTTAAAAAAGAGAAAATTTATAGTGCAAAATTTTCTCTTTTTCATAACAATTTGTGTTCCTACTCTAAACGCGGCTCGGGCGGGATAACAAAATAAAGGCACTGTCTCGGGGCTGGCCAGTGGCCAGGCAAACAACACATCATGTAACTTTATGCCTCAATGAATGACAAGTAAGAATTACATTCTGTCAATATTTTAAAAAGGTGTTACATGTGTATAGTTAGCCGGACCCCCTGGACATTTCGCAATGTTTTATGACCGGCTGGCTGCCTGAAGTCAACCCTCTTTAGGCATGCTATTGTAGGCGGTATCACCGCCACCATGCAGTTGCCCATAGTCGACAGATATTCATCCGAGGTCAAAAACTCTACGTCGCCTTTTACGAAACACCCTGAGTGGACTAGGGGTGGCAGTTTTCTTAGCCGCTACCACACGGACAAACACAATTTTGACGACGCTTGGCGCTGATTAAATCCGTGTTATTATGTTGAGGTCTGACGATGCTTGTTGCGGATTAATCTCTGAATTAATTTGTTTGAAATGGATTGTATTTGTATTTGACTGTAAATAGCATGTTTTCCTATTAAACTAAATGCCGATTTCAAACACCATTTTTAACCTTTTGAGTGCCTTGACACGGATCCGTGTCCTGGTCCCTCTACAGTTGCAATTTTAGTATGTAAGACGATATAAATAGGGGCTAAAATTGCTTGAGCATAATTTAGAATGAAATAATGAACCATAGACAATTATTCACTCAATAAATTCATTCACGTCATCCGTATCGTATTCACAGAATATATAATAGTACTAGGGTACAGAAAATTCACTCCCTAACAAAAGCCATGGTTAGGTATAAAAAGATACCTACTCTCGGCTTAGCCGACCGCCCGCGAACAAAATTGAAACTTATTACTGCGCGCGAACGGCTCAATCTCCACTGGACGCCGCCGGACAATGACCCGGCCGCGCGCGCTCTCATGGGGTTGTCACAATAATCGAGTAGGTATTTATCTGTTCAGTACATAGGTATTCTAGGTAACTACAAGACAAGTATTGCAAGTGTTTTTAAATCGAATTTAAAATAAGCTAGCGTAACATTATACAATAGTAAGTACCTACCTACCTACTTATCTTATGAGATGATAGAAAGTGAAGCTTACACAAACTACACCTATTACCTACCTATACTCCGACCAATGTCAGAAATAGCAACAAGTATTTGAAAATTATCAAAATACAATTTTAGAAGGAACTTGACCTGTCCATCTTCTTCGGAATAACGAAAAAACTTATTTCCGGGTTCATTTTTATATTGTTCTTACATATATCTACACTGTAGTATTTGCGAGGTACATGGCTAGCCATTTTTTAGTTTTTTATCCACTTCCGAAACACAAAACAAAACTTCCGTAGAAATAATCCGAATACGTACATACGTGCGGGGAATCTCGCGCGCGGCAACCGACCGAGATTAGCCCCTTCAGGGAGCGGCCGGCCGGGTAATACCTAAACCGCGGAGTGAAACCCCCCTGTCGTAATCACGTTATGATCGTTCAAAGTCGACCCACCGCCACACAGGCACCTCAATTGTATGGAAAATGGCGGATGCCTGATTTGTGCGAAATTTGTCGATTTTGAAATAAATTTTTAGTAATGTAATTAATTTGCAGTGCTCATATTTATATATCAGTGAATACCTAAAAAATCTATTTATGTTACAAAATAAACAGGAACAGGTTTGGAAATAAATTTCCATACAATTTCACAAAATAATACACCCATCAAACTAGCATTTTGTCGAAAACGCAAAAAAGCTGCGGCACTCGACGGTAGCAGTTTTTGAAGCCCTGTTGGCACTCAAGGAGTTAAATTGCATTAAAACTGACCGGTTTATGTTTGGACATGTGGTTCTGCAGTTTCGCCTCGAAGTTGAACCCTTTGAAGCAGAGATGACACTGGAACGGGAATTTCATACTCGCTTTGCTCTCCTCCTGGAAAAAAAATAACTTCATTACAATAAGGAAAATGAGAATAAGAAAATTGAAAAATTAACTTCATTACAATAAGGTTAAAAAAAAAATAAGAAAATTGAAAAGTTCATCAGCGACCGCCGGGTCTTGAACCCGGGACCGAGAGAAGCCGTCCCACTGCTCTGCCAACTGAGCAAGCATCGAACGGTGCATCGGTAGCTCAGTGGCAGAGCGGTGGGGCGTTGACCCATGTGGACCGTGTTCGAGCTCCGGCCGATATATGAAATTTTTCAATTTCTTATTTTCATTTATGAGAACGATGGTTCATGGGTCCATGGAAAAAGTTCAGTTTCATGAGTACCTTCACCTTCTTTAGGTTTTATTTGTTGTTTTTTAACACCCAGTATTACTGAGCTGTGTTTCGTGCTCTTATTGAATCTTATTAAACCTAGCAACCCTGGCAAGTACAAGTGATAATCGCGAAAATCCTAAATAGGGTCGAGTAAATAAATAAGTACATATCATACATAGAAAACACCCAGACTAAACACAAATTTTTGAAAATGTCTTTACAAATATTTGAATTCGGTGGGAATCGAACCCACGACCCTCGGCGTAGAAGGTACTATCCACTAAGCCAACGGGACATCGGGTCAGTTATTCTCTACGCTATAAAAGATTGTAGTACCTACATATATAGGATGCAATTTTATTAGTGGCGGATCCGTTAAGGGTGTGATCTGTCAATGAAACTGAACAACTTTCCCCAAGGAACATAGGTCGAAATACGAAGAAAAATTTTGGTCTTCCCATACTAACTGTGTTGGCCGGCCGGGCCCAATTTGTATGGGAGGGCCAATTTTTTTTTCATTTTTCCACCTATGTTCCTTGAAAAAAGTTGTTCAGTTTCATTGACAGATCACACCCTTAACGGATCCGCCACTAATAAAATTACACCCTATATACATACATACAGTCGGGGTCAAAAGAGCATACCTAGGGCCGCCTCAAATGGTTCAAAATATCTCTGAAACTAAATTAATTTTGTAAATTATTTTTTCGTTTGTGAATAGAGTTTAACTACAAGTGAAAATAAGAAATAGAAAAGATGACGTACATCGACCGGGAATCGAACCCGGGCCGCATGGGTAAACGCCCCACCGCTCTGCCACTGAGCTATCGATGCACGGCCGATGGACGCCAAATTTTCTATCTCTTGATGCTCGTCTCCAAGCGACGATCACTTGTGAGAATAATATAGCACTGTGAGTGCATTACAATCCCAATAGAGAGTTTAACTAGTTGCATAGACAACAAAAGAAATAATTTACAAAAGTAATGTAGTTTCTGAGATATTTTGAACCATTTGATGCGGTCCTAGGTATGCTCTTTTGACTCCGACTGTACATCACGCCTCTTTCCCGGTGGGGTAGGCAGAGACTATGTCCTTCCACTTGCTACGATCCTGAAAAACATCTTTCGCTTCTTCAACATTCATCAATCTTTTCATGCACGCTCGTCGGTTTAGGGTACTTTTGACCTGACCTTTCTTTAAAACGTCCCCGATTTGGTCCAGGTACGTTCGTCTAGGTTATCCCCTTCCAACGTTCCCTCCCATCCACACCCGCCATATATACGGTGAAATTTTACTAGTGACCGATAGCGAAAACTCAGAACCGGCTGGTGATAAGGAACAACTTTCCCCAAGGAACATAGGTCGAAATACGAAAAAAAAATTTTACCTCCCATAGTAACACAAATTAGCTGATCGGCAATTTTGTCCCCATACAAAATCCATTTTTTTTTTCGTATTTCGACCTATGTTCCTTTGGGAAAGTTGTTTCTTATCGCCAGCTGGTTCTGAGTTTTCGCTATCGGTCACTAGTAAAATTTCATCCATTATTATTCTCTTAAATTATAATAAGAAATATGTATGCATTAAAATCCCAATGGACTGTACCTCTCTCTGTTTAACTTGCTCCTCGGGATCTAACATCACGACTCTTATTTTGGTGGGGTCGAGCTCCGCTGGTTTGCTTCGTAAGCTGCATTTCGGTTCCAGCGCCTCTGGTGGGTCCAGTTTAGGTAGTTTTTCACTGCAAATATAAGAAATATTTCATTTCTTTTTCATTTATTGATTGCTTACATGTAAGTACAAGGTATAAAAAGGTCTTATTTTAGGTAACACTATAATATACGGTTACATTTAATTAAGTACAAATGTTTTAGGGGCGTGTTCTACTGACAATACTGGACAACTTTTATTAGGAAATTTTCTACGAAATATGAAAAAAAAATTGAACCTACCATACTATGTGACGAATTTTTTCAGCATGTTTGTATGGGAGGTTCAATTTTTTTTTTTCATGTTTTGAAGAAAGGTTTCTAATAAAAGTTGTTCAGTTTGGTGAGTAGGACAGGCCCTTAAATTATTTGTAGTACTTAATTCAATGTAACCTTATATACTGTATTAACCTCTTAATGCAGTGTGGTGCCAGCTTAGAATAGCATCACCCCGTATCTTTCCCGTGGGTTCGTAAGAAGCGACTAAGGGACTTGCGAGTTCAATGTATTGCAAGTTTAGGCGACTGGCTTACAACCTGTCACTATAGTGATACACAACAACAGCTAACAGCCCTCAAATATTTGTCAGACGTGACGATAACGACCGTATTTTTAGGGCCATTGACGCTATGCCTACCCCGCAAGGGATAAAAGCGTAATTTATGTAGAGTCACATTATGAATAAGCCACACGGGTAGTCGAAACGACTGAAAATATTTTTATTTTCATTAAAATTATTATAATTCTTAAAATTGATTCTAGTACAAAATGACTCCCTCCACATGATTCTATTTTCATAACAGATTTATTTTTATTGGAGAATAATATTTTGATTCATTTGGAGTAGCGCTGTGTAGCTTATTCCTTTGCTGTGTGTGCGTACTTATGTAATATTATTACGCATTTTCGTTCGTACACTATCCAGTGTACCTCAAAATATTTGAAGCAGTTGCCTTGTCTATGAAAAAAAATGCTTAGCAAAAAAATCATTTTGGGTCACTCTATTAAGCGATATCTGACAGATATTAGCTGACTTGAGACATCTAGTATGGGAGGTCAACACCTTTTTTCTTATCTCGACCATTTATGTTCTATTATTATTAGAAAATCATAAAAATATATTTATTTACTACACTTATTTAGAAATATTGGTTTTTCAGAATTGAAGGCAGTTTCATAATCAACTGTTTTAAAACATATGCAGCCTTAAAAAATAACTTTCTTATTAAAATCGGTATCAAAAAGTAACTCAATGTCATACATTTCTCAAAAAATGAAACAAATATGCCGCTTTTTTATTTCCTGTGCCAACAATAAGTCAAGTTTTATGAGCCTCTATTTTAACATTTGGTTGAAAAGTTACTTAGTTACAAAAGTCGTACAGTTGGTGGTTCAGTAGATAGGCTTGCAGTCGCCATAGTGCAGTGAGGAGTTTTGAATTATTTTTCATAGTTTTTCTTGTAGAGTGTAGATAAAATAGTGTATGCAACTGCATATAATTAGGCTTTAGAATGCTTGTGTCAAACTATTATCACACTCGGCTTCGCCTCGTGTGATTAACAGACACTAACGTTCTAAAGCCTCGCCTTATAAGGCAATTGCATAAACTACTATTTCGGTAAATTTTGATTCGAAAAATGATTTGAAACAAAGATTTTATAATAAATAAGTCCTCATAATTTCAAGTCTCATCCCGCCCAGGTGATATATTTTTTTTGTTTGCTTACTTTTGGCACAGAAACTAAAAAAGCGACATATTCGTTTCGTATTTTTCCAAATTCTTGAATTCAAGTTACTTTATGTAGCTGTGTGGTGATAAAGAAGTTTTTTTAAAGGCTGCATATTTATAAAGCAGTTCATAACGAAACTGCATTCGATTCTATACAAGCCGAATTCATTAAAAAAAAAACCCGACTGCTTATTTATGTCAAAGTTGTGTTTTTGCATTTACAGTCCACCATTTTGAAGATTTGAAATTTTGATATAGCCAGTGTCACTCGCGCTGCTGAGACGAATCTAACGATACCTCATATGTCAAGATCCAACAAGCCGTTTAGGCTGTAGCCCGTGAAAAAGAATTTTCTTGTCCACATACATACATACATACATACTCTCGAAAAACATAACCTTCCCTTTAACGCAAACGGGTAAAACCCAACATTACTAAACGAGTGTAGATAGAAATATTATGGCTTTTCGTACGAATTGACCTGATTTATAAATGACTACTATCCCATCGCACTTTTAAAAGATATTTATTTAAATTATAATACTATACCTATTCTTTTTCTTCTTGACCCCATCCCTCTTCTCCTCTCTCTTACTCTTCTTCTTCTTGGCATCCGTCTCTTTCTCCTGCGTCTGCATGTCCTCGCTGACTTCCAGAAGTTTCGCCAGGTCATCCTCTGTGATTATGTCTTCTTCTGTCAGTTTTGTCACGTTTGTTCTGTAACGATAAGTGTAAATATACAGTACTGTAATATACCGTGTGATGCTGGCTTAGAATAGCATCACCCCATATCTTTCCCGTGAGTGACGTAAGAAGCGACTAAGGACTTTGAGTGTTGATGTGTACTGCAATTTTAAGCGACAGGCTGACAACCTGTCACTATGGTGTTACACAGTCTTCTGAATGACACTCAAACTTTTGTCAGATGTGGTGTAAATGGCAGTTTTTACAGGTGTTTACGCTCTGCCTACCCCGCAAGGGATATAGAGACGGCGCGCGGGGCGCCTTTATTTTTAACTAGCTGCCCGTCAGCGGTTTCACCCGCCGCAACCTATTATTCCGCGGGATAAAAGCATTATTCGCCAAGAGATGTCGCTGTTAGTTTTCGGCGAAAACGTTTAAAACGCGAATCGGCTCAGTCACGCCACCTATTTCAAAAATATTGGAAAATGCGTGATCCCGTGGGAATGAGACATTTTTCCGTGGTAAAAAGTATCCTATGTGTTATTCCAGATGCCCTTTTATATTTCTGCAAAGTTTCATGTCAATCTAATCAGCCGTTTTTGCGTGATGTCGTAACAAACACACACACAAACATCCGCCTTTATAATATTAGTAGGATGCTGAGTGCATTAAAAATAAATTGCTGTATTATTCTCAAGAAATTTATTTATTTATATAAGGTCCTATTAAATTCACTGCAAATATTTTAGGGGCAGATCAAATAAAATATAAGCTGTACTAGGCAAATTCTTTAAAAAAATCTAC